GCGGCAGAGATGGCGCGGATAACCCGGGTGCCTTAATTGTGTACCTGCATCGTGGAAGACCCCTTCAATGTGGAACGATTCCTAGCCAGTGTCGATATTTACACCGCTGTGCCTAACACAGATGATCTGGATAGATTCGGGTGATTGTCGATTGCAATGATGGCTTTGGTTGGGCGTTCTTCTTCATTGTATGTCCACGGACTCATTCTGACAGCACTTCAGAGAGCAGCTGCATGCCCCGAGCTTTTGTACCATGCACCATGGTGTTATTATTGTACAGACAGCACTTCAGACAGCAGTACGCTGTAGTCGACAAACATTCATTTCGGTAAAATGCGGGACAAGGGGGGTGATGCTGCTGCTATAGTCGAATTGTAGTGTGTGGGCGTGAAGTTCAGTTGTGAGCACGCGAACGTGCTGCAGGGATTGTAGGTGTACCTCCTCGGGCTTGTGAACCATTTTCTTGCTAATAGTGTGTGTGTTCTCTAGATCTTCTGATGGCTCTAGCATTTTTGTGACCACGGACCGAGTCTTTGCTAGATTTTGGGATTAGCAACTGACACGAGTTTAATGTGAACAAAACAATCGCGTGCAGTACGGCAAATATGAAGAAACGCAGCACCGTACACCGAACAGCAGTGCCTCCTGCCCACGTAACACATCGTTCCGACACGAACCACACCGTCCCATACTATTAATATATCTTAGGAATAGTACACAGCAGTATCATGTGAAAATAGGAAAATGTATGCAAATAGTCTAAACACATACGCCGCAGTCTGATCTCCCCAGCAGGTGTGAGAATAACCAAAGATCCCGAAAGGGCCTATTAATAGTCCCTCTTACCCCTTCGTGACCCCTGAACGATTGCACGCACCAAGAGTCCGATACGCGACATGGCTCCCCTACTGTAGGCTACCAACTTGGATTGCTGAGCCCGCCGCCCACAGGGGAGATGAGACATCGGGAGGGGGGGGGATAGAAACACACGTAGATCATACCACAACACTGCGGCGCTATCGTGGACCATTTACAAAGAGGTGAGGAGTTGTTCTGTAAATAAGAAAGATGAAAAATCAACCCAGAATGTTGGCTGCCTGGGAGAGGGAATGCAGCAACTGCTATTGAGACCAACCAAATTTGATTTAAGGAACAGAAGGACACAGGATCACTGACCGTAGTTTCAACCAAATATCAGCCGATGGCCTGGGCTAGCAAAACAGGCCAGCATCACAAGACATGCCAGGCAGACTCAAACGCGACTACATGAACAAAGAGATACCCCAGCAGGTCTGAAGAATGTATGCGCCAGAGAGAAAAGTTTGGACTTTTGTACTCCGTTGTACCCCCAGCGGCGGCCAATCATCGCCAAACAACCCGCCAGCAAGCACAAGAGTACCAAAACATTCTCCGTGCTCTGCCTAACGACGAAGCTGGGACATGAGTGTGTGCTCTTAGCCCACCCTCCTTCACCGTCACTATCCGGGGGGGGGGGAGCCGGTTGTACGTGCATCAAAAATCAAAGACGGCGCTGCTATGAGGAACGGCGGCGCAGCAGTTGTATGCATAGCAGGGTCTCCCTCGCAAAAAAACATGCTGCATAGATGACCCGTCGCCGCTCTTTATAAGCATGGTCTAGACAACACAGCCGCAGCAGTGTTTGCGTTTTATCGCCACAAAGCAGGGGCGTCCGCCCTACGCCTTCCACTACACTAGCGTTTGCTGCTTTGCGACGTACAGAAAAATCGGACCACGTTGTGGCATGGGACGGCTTGTGGCTGCAGGGTTATAAACGCATGATATGATCCGTCGCTGGTGCTGCCGCAGCTGTGTGGATGTTCTCCGAATGTGAAAATGTTCTACCCGCATGAAAGCATAAAACTTAGGACAAACAACACACGCGCCGACAATACCTCGTGCGCGCGCGGGGGGGGGGGGAAAGCTTCGCTCTGGCGCACGAGAGAGGTGGCGCTGACGTGCTGCGTGATACTGTCGGGGCGGGCACTTCGGGCTCTCATGCACAAGAGGCAGATATACAGGCAGCTATCGTTGTAGCTGCATGACAACAGCCAGGGAAGGAGGACAAACGTCACGGAGCGGTTTGAATCGAGCCCAGCACTCACACAGCAAGAGAAAAGCTGGGGACTTCAACAGGGACTCGTGGACAGCAACCTCGACCAGGACCAGCGCAGGAGCACCAATGCCGACAGATTTTCCCGGCACAGCTAGAGCAGGTGTGTCTGTCTCTCGGCGCCGCTCTGTGTGTGTCCCTGGGTGTGTGATCGATGAAATACGGCTGCTGCTGCTGTCGGCGAAGTACTCACCATCATGCGAACGACCAAGTGTGTGTCGGTACTCCTTTTCTGCAATCGTGCATACCTCTTTCAGAGTCCTGACGTCGCGATCGATAGCCTCGGGAGTCGGTGCCTCAGCCATGCCCGCATGGTGCGCCATTCACAGCTGCCAGGTCCGCGATCCCCGCTTCGAGCCGAGTGCGCCAAGATGCGAGCTGTCGACGAGCCGCCGGCGCCACGGGGGGGCACGCGCCATAAACACGGCACCTCCATGTTCCCGACCCCATGTACGAGAGAAGTTTATTGATTTTACGGAGCCTCCAGGCCGCTTCGCGGGTGTGACGGTTTCACGCTTGCATGTACATACATTCAACGACACGATGCAACACTATTTGCGCGCACGCGCAGGAGTCCAGATATGTATGGGCGTTGTTGGAACACTCCTGCTTGTGGGGTAGGCTGGAGACGGAGAGGGTAGGGGGGGGGGGAATTGTAGTGCGTCAAACTTGCCTGCTTTGGAGGGAACGCAGGAGGAGGGAGGGGAGTGGGGCCAATCTATCGATCCTCGGTGTTTCGGGATCCCTCGTTCGGAGACGTCCGCGCAGAAGGTGAGTCCAGGGGGAGCATCTCGTGTTCTATCTTCTCGCGTTGATCTCTGTATTGGTCGGTGCAAGTTTCAGTATATCATGTATCGCGCGTACAACAAAAATCGACGGGATGGCACACGGATAAGTGCTGTCGACAAGAACTTCCGACGAGGAAGATCTACCGTGGTTGCGTCGACACGTGCGTGCTTCTTTCAACAAATATGTAGGCGTCGACGGCGGCTGTACGTAACTTTCTAAGAAGCACATTGCAACTTGATGTATGTCGTCCAACATATGTTCTGGGCGCCAATTTGCATTTTGCACAGCAATTTGAGTATTTTATCTACACTGTAGAGGAAGGCAGGGTCTGCACGTCGTCGCAGACACACACATGGAAGGCATGATCTGTGATCCAAGTCACTTGAAAACGCCATCGATCGGTGCTTCTCCGTGTCGTTGATTATTTGTGTGGAGGTGCCAACCTTGATGTTACTTATAGCTCAAACAACCCTCAATCCTCAGTTAAATAATAGGCAAGTGCATATCATTTTCTGATTTTCTGCAGGAATGTAGGTGCAGGTGTTTTGGGATCCCAATCATGGTTCTTTGTTTATTCCGGAAGGAAAGAGGACGTTCCGCAGCCTACTCCACGTAGATTCAACCCGCCTTTGGCAAACGATGGATGTGCTGCTGTGTTGCAGCATGAGAAGATCGTCCAATATTCAAGACTCAAGGCCTTTCGCTTTAATCTACACTACTATCAGTTGGGGTTGTACGAAGGACGTGATGTAGGATGCGCTTTCTTGCGCTACCAAAGCCTTTTAGCGCTACCTGGGGGCGTTTTACACAGCGCCTTTTCCCTCCAAAGTTTTAGAACGTTTCCAAATTCGGGAACTTTGCGAAGCGAGTACGAAAGCCAAAATAATGGTAACTTCCAATCTGCGCCCGACTCACACTGGGAAAAATTCCAAATCTATGGAAGACTTCCAAATTATTGTAAATAGATTTTAGGAAAAATCAGCGCTGTATATATTGCGCCCCATAGACACCTCCCTACCGTTCTCCGACTTCGCACGGCAGTTCGTAACATACACTCTCGGCCTCCCGGGGGTAGTCTAAAGAAGACCTACGAGCTGTTCTTACTGTATCGAGATCGGATCACTGATTACTGATCACGGGTGGTGCTCTCACAGAGTAGCCACGTCAACGACACCCTGTACATGAGGTTTTTCGCGTATTTTGCTGAATCAGACGCCTAGCTTGTCGAAACACTCTTAAGGGCAGCAAGCGTACATACTTCCCGACTCCGTCAGAAGCTGTAAGGAGAGGGCTTCGACAAAGTGCTGTGTGATCGGGTTGCAGTTCTCTTGCCAGCAGGCCGCTAGTGATGCCCCACCACCGCCCGCCCCCAGGTTCCCGTGCGTCGTCCCGGACAGAAGCTTCGACAGCGACAACACCAGATGTCACCCGTCCGTGGAGGTGGTGGACGCGGCAAGGGCGGAGGCCCTGCTAGTAGCCTTTCGGAGGAGGCCGCTGCGGCTGGAGGAAACGGCGGCACCCCTGGTCCCGGTTCTACCGGCCAGCGTCGCCCCTCCCGAGTTTCGTCTGCGATTGCGCTGGCGTCATTCAACTGGACCGATGACGCCATCGTCGAGGTGTGTTTTGGGTGCTCGGCAGAGTGCTGATCCAACGGGGTCCCCAGGGGTTTGCTATGTGTGCGATGCGCGGGTCCCCTCTTGCCTCCCCCGTGTCTCTCACTCGAACATGAAAAAAGGGCCCTGAATCAACTTTCTTTCTTTCTTTTGGCCCCTGACGAAGCTGCCGCACCCAATCAAGGTGAGAGAGAAACGACGCCATGCACCGCATGTAATTGCCAACACCCCGGTGGGATAACCCTAGGATACGTATTCTAGGGCGGGGTTGGGGGGTGAGGGATGGGGAGTGACCACGGGAAGTCAGTGTTGTTCGGGCCTTGTGATAGTTTGGGTGATTTGCTTTGTGCAAGTTTCCACTCGATCCCCCCCGGGGAGCTTCCCGCCGGTTTCGCGTCGAGGCTTGGGGCATGGTGTCAAGGCTTGGGGCATGCACTCCAGAAAAGAAGAGGGAGATAATCAAAAGTGAAGGAGGCGTACCATCATGGTTTCTTGGTCCTTTTTATCATCCCATCCACGGCACTGAACGTAGCAAAAGAAAAGGGCCCTTCCCGTGGAGACCGAATTCCTGACACACGTACTCAACGGGCGTCGTTGAAATTCTTCTTCGAATGACTACAGGAGGCCAGAGGGCGTGCGCGATGAACGCGATGCTGTTCTTGTTGTTGTTGTCGAAGAAGAATTTTCCGTCGTTCACTCCCGACATAACTGTTTACTGACCGTGTTGTGATTCTCGTTCTCATTATTCCATAAACTAAATGGCCTTTGTCCCTCGCACTTGCCCATTCGAAGTAGTCAAACAACAACATCCCGCAGAGTCGCAGGTCGCAGCACAAGAACGGCGCATCTGATAAAAGGCCAGAGTGAATTCAACAGACCTTGTGACTCCATGCTTTGTAAACCTTATCCGGTCTCACAGGTGGCCCGTGACCTTAGCAACGATCCCGTAGCGATGTACGCCGACTCCGTCCCGGGAAAGTCGAGCAAAACAAGTGGTACTGGCGCAGGGAAAGCGAGCGGGCATAGGACCGGTGCCGGAGGGAGGAGTCGAGGGCCTGGCAGGACGAAAGCGCCGCATGGGGGGGGCTTCAGGTAAAACGAGAAACCGCAGAAACACAGGTTGGTCATCGAGCAATGCTATGAATTCATTGCTTATCTGTAGCCCGGACTCTTATCTGTGGAAGGGATAAATTTGTCGTGCATCTTCAAAGAAGAAAAGAAAAAACCGAGAGAGGTCATTGCGCCAGGATTGCTCCAACGTCCTGGTCAGTATCGCCGTTGGAAGCTTTTCTCGAGGCTCAGGTTGAGACTTCGAGGGGAAAGAGGGCGATGGACTTTCGTTGCCCGGTGGCGATGGCGTTGATGTCGGTGCTAGTGCCGGTTTTGACTGTTGTTGTGCCGGAACGCGAGGAGGGTGGACTATACGGGCGTGAAGTGGGTAGTACTCGATGGACACACGCCCAAGGAAGGACAGTCCTTTCGGTGCCTGCCGCCGCTAATACCACAACAACGTGCGGACTTAGGGGGTGAACTTCCGTAAATGGTGGTTGCGCTTACTTCGGTGGAGGCCAGCACCGCAACTCTCGATCAGCTTGTGGCAAAGGCTGTCTCAACATGGGGCTATCATATCCGTTGTTCCTATTCACTATCCTTGAAGATCGGACTCGGTCTATTGTCCGCCGAACCTAGCCTATCTGAACAAGTATTACTCCGGAGTACGATTCAACGTCGTGTCGACCATCTCGCTCGTGAGGATTAGCGGTGAGCCATTCGTTCCGAATTCTGAGTTGAGATGGTATGCCTAGGTCGTCTACAGAATGAATTTCCTTGTCCCGCTCCTCATGCACCCTTCTTTCCCCTTTGCACGCTGCCCCCCTTCCTTTGTTGGTTCGCTTTGCACGGAACAGGCCTCCCCCGGCAGCGGTATCTGAACACGCGACTCCGTCTCCTTCGCCCAAGGTGAAGCAAGGTTCGATAGCACGGGCAAGCCCACAGACGAGCAGAAGTCCGCAGCAAGACCTCCACAGCCCGGCTGTTCCCGATGTGTCATTTGTGGCAGGAGGCGCGGCGGCCGGGCACGGGGGCGACCGCGCGGGTTCGACTGGGCCTGTGAAGCCACGGTGCGGTGTGCGAAGAGGTGTAGGGTGTCTGGGGCACCAGGTATAGGCCTACCTTCTACGTTTGATTTTCCCGGGTGCGGATTGGAGCGTTTTTTTTGTGGAGTTTGTTTTTGCCGCTTCCCATCGTGGTATCCTTTCTTTCTGCCTATCCCGAATGGGGAGACGGAAAGGGATAAACGATGCGCTACCTAACGTCCCATCTCCGCATGCGTCGCTTTCCACCTCTTGACAAGTATCCTCGGAAGAGAGAAGAAACGCACAGGGCGTGAAAGCCAAGCACCATCGAAGCTAGGCGACGCATCGGTAGACTCGTGGCAACAGTAGAAGGCGAACGATTCGATTCACCCGCCATGTGTCGTTCTCGCAAGCTCGAAAACCTCACAACAAAGGTTGCCAACAACGACCGCTTAGTGTAAAGAACACTTTGAACCGCGACACCACCGCAACCACCACGAACGCAAATAATAAATGACGGAAGCTCCTTCCTGTTCTTGCCGATACGTATCAAGGAATAATAGCTTTCAGGAGGATCAAGGAGGGCCGTGTTGGGAGCTAAACGAGCTCATGCGTGACTGGCTTGAGGTGCGCGGAAAGATAAGAGTCTCGTCGTCGGTAGTGTCTGCCACCCCCATTGCTCCAAGCTTCTTCTTCTGACCGACGAGCGTCAATAGGTTGTGAACGCCGAAAGAGCATCGCAACTTGATTGCTACTGTTTTTTCGAATCTGTGCTTTCCCCGCACCGTACGGCGTACGACGTAAAAGGCGAACACGAGAGGTCGAATTCGATACAAGTCGGTGCGTATTGTTCCGATGATTTCCAAGCACAGTCAACTCAGCACAACGCTGTCCTACATTTGCCTCTTTGGACAATGACGTTGAAGCCCTGCCTCCCCCCTCTACCCGCCCGCTCTCTTCGAAACACGTAGAACTCCGAGGACGGTAGGGCCGTTGCCTCCCACCGCGCCCGGCTGCCCCTGTCCTTCTTCCATCGAATCCCATCCCCGCGCTGCCGCCCGCCCGCGGCGAAGGCGAAAACGAATATCAACGCCGACGAAAATGCCGTCGCCGCTGTCACTGAGCCACTACCCGGGCATGAGCCTGTCCGAGAGGGTACAGATCTGCCCGCGGCAGACTGCGGTGGCCCTGACGACGATGCCGGCCTGATGGTACCCGGGGTATCAGCCGTAGGGCTGTACCAGGGCGGCAGTGACTGGAGTCCTCACGACAAGACTGGGGATCAGGGGGCTGAGGGAGTTCCAGGCGCGGGGGGCGGGAGCGGAGATGTTTTCGTGTGGAGGCGTTGCGTTGTGAAGAGGAGGGGGACCGGGGTGGGGGCGCCAAAATCCACCGACTCGGGTTTGATCGATGTTGAGTGGGACGACTCCGCGGGAGGGGAGGTGAGAATAAATGGTTGGAGGGTCAGCTGATTTCACCGCATTGAACCCCTGTCACCACAATGACGAAAACGAGGCGTGAGTATCTTCCTTCCTCATCGAATGTGGTATGGACTGGACGTCGTAACCAACTTCAGAACTCCCCCATTGCACACGAGCTGCAACGAGTTCGACAGGGATTTGCCAACCAACGATCACCCCATTCGCCCGACCGCATGACGATGACATCAACGAATGACAAATATACCAACACCCGGCCAATCCCTCCGGCTTTCTTGCCATAAAGACAAGCAACGAGTTCAACCCCCCCCCGCTGCTTCCTCGTCCCATCCTCCTCCCGGAAGGCGACCCTGCACCCGCAAGAGGTTTTCGTAGAGAAGCCCGAAGGCCTCGGAGGCGAAGGGGGTGTTCGTGGTGCCTGCGGCAGCGGTCACGACTGTGTGGACTTTTCCGCGAGGGTCCAGGAGGCCCTGTCCCTCAGAAGGGCGTGCGAGGCACTGCTTGCTTATAGGTGTGCGTGAATGCGGACTTAACAGTAAGAGTCCGGACTCAAGCATGGGGGGTGAAACTTATGCCAACGAAGATTTTTCTCGGAAGCAAGGTGTGCCCGGGACTGCTGTGAGCGCTAACGTTGGAAACTTGCTTTGAACAAGAGTACATGCTTGAGACATGAGTGAGGGTCAGCAAAGGGTCTATTAGTAACGGGTTTGCGTACAGCGTGGAGGGAAAAAGGGAACGACGTTGTCGGTCCCGGCGGTGCAACGCGACGCGCTACCTCATCGAGCTTGTCTCGAGGGTTGAGGCAGTATACAGCTATAGGGGATATGTCAAGGCTGCAGCGTATGATTGGCACATACATGTATGGTTGATGAAAAGAAAGCAACACCAATCCGTATCCACTCCACGACCTGCTCTTGGCTGGCACCAAAGCAGACCAGGGTATCAGGATCGTCAGGCGAGGAAAAAAGGGAAACATTGATGACTTTTTTTTCTGTCCTGGGGCAACCAAAACTGGTTGAGAGACCTCTCTGATCTTTGTAGCGAAACGTGGAAGAGCACATGGCCTGGCCGCAACTAAATGTTGACGGGCGAAACACCAACAAACTTGTCAGAACGCTCCAAATTACGTGACTTCTGTGATCTGCAAAACCGTGGACCCGCGAGCACCCGAGCAGAAGGAGTTGCCATCCTTGGCGCACAAGCCCCATTTAATGCATGAAGTGAGCGACGGCTGCGGCCGTTGGGCATACGTTTTCGTTTCGCACACTGTGTCCGAACCTTTTCCTTCGGCAGTGTGATGTAGGTTGATGCAAAGCTTGCCTTCCTTCCCGCCGTGCTGGCAGACACTACGTGAGCTGTATGCCGGTGGACACCAGCGTGACGGGCACGCTGCAGGAGGGCCCGGCCAACAGGGCGATGGCTCTCGCGTTGAGCGCCTTTAAGGGTGAGCACCACTTGTTTACACAGTACCGCATCGTCTCGACGAGTAGTTTTATCGGTGGTGTGAAGTGCATGGAACAGGTATGAGCGTGCCTTGGGGAGACGCAGCATATGCACCCGTTTCACGAAGTACCAAAGGAAATTGTTGGTAGAGTTCTGCGAGTGTCACACACGGATTCTCCGCGGTTCAAAGTGTGCACAACTAGAAATACCAGTAGAAGGGAGGGGAACTATATTTTGCTGTCGAAGACTGCTGCATAAGGCGTCACCTACCTCGGCATCGTCGTGTCCCAAAAACACGTCAGTCCGGTACTGGTAAGGGGTTCCTGGCGTTTGGCTATGTGGAATGTCAACGCGTGATGGAAGCATGTGGTAGACAATCCTTAAAAAAGCTCAAAACGTCTGCAAAATGTGAGGGCCTTCCGGCGAGTGGGAGTTCGCTAAAATCGGTGCCCAATCTTTTTGACCGGAAGTTAGCGATGTTGATAATACGATATGTCTTCGACGTCGACTTGTTGATGTCAGGGTCAGGCTCCGGCTACAAGGGTCTCGCGATGGCTACCGCTAGCAAGCTGATGGCCGAGGTCACCCGGGAGTACGAGCTGTGCATGTCCTCGCTGGTCTTTGACAGCAACATGATGAACGAGGCCAACATCCAGGTACGTATCATGGTCAGGGCGCCGTCGGCGGACTTCTCGACGTCGCCGCCCATGGCGATATTCTTGGTGATGCGCGTTCGAGTAAAACCTGTACCACGGAACAGGCTGCTTTCAGTTCGTTTTTCATTTTCTTCACTTTCGTCGTCATCTGCCCCGTTGTATTCGTTGGTGTCGGATGTATGATGGATTGCAAACAGTGGCGCTTGCCGACCACCTGCAGGTCAATACTACAATGATCGGCACGTATCGAACACCAAACCACTCCAGACATTCCAACTGCTGTCCAGCCTGATACATATGAAAATTGCTCACGCGTGTGTTCGCGTTTTTGCCACCGTGTAACGTAGGCGAGAGAGAGGGCTAAATGAATGGGTTGTTTCGTGACTTTGGGGCTACAAATGTTTTTTGACGGCCAAAGGGAGCACATGATCTCTTGTGTATAGAGCACAGCGACGAACGGCAATAAGCGTTTTCTTCTGGTTTCCGGTCGGTCGTTCCCGTCTGGTTCCCAACCGTCCGTGTCTTCCTGTAACACAGACATACGTGCGACTGAAGTTGCCACCTCCCACCCCCCCCAAGCCTGTACCTGAGATGGCCGTCGTCTCCACTCCCCCGCATAACTTCAGAGGTGAGAGTATGAATATTGCTTCCCTTAGTTGCTTTCCCGATACGTTTTGCTTGCCCTGCTGTCGATTGAGAGTACACGGGGTGCTTGGCATGTACGAAAGGGGCTTAGATGATCCGGGTTTGTCGCGCCTGTCCTGTGCCGCTGGCTGCCGATGTTGAGTACCACTTTCCAACAGTTGTTGGTAAAGACTTCATGAAAGTGGTGCAAAAGCAACTAACGGCAAGCAACGAGTGAAGATCCCCCCCCCCCCACCCCTGGTCCGGTGAGAACCCGGCGTGCTCCGTCCCGGCTTTGTAGGGATGCGAGGTCAATGGTCTAACGACTACGGCATGCACGACTATGAGTACA